AAACTGTTTCATGTATTTCTCTAACATTAATGAAACTGTTTCATGTATTTCTCTAAAATTAAAATAATGAAGATGATAATATCTATGATTAACACCCTCTACAATAAAAATGATTAATCAACCTCTCATAATTACAAAAAAATGAACAAAATGAAAATTTATGATTGTTTGAATGCGGTTTGCACGGTTTGTACAAATTGAGTGGTTTGCATTTGATCGCTCCCCTATATATATATATACACACATACATACATGATATACAGACTTGCTGTCTTAAACCATGCCATGCCTCGCCGTGGCTCCTAAGGCTTGAGGCATGACCTTGCTGTCACTCTGTTTAGAACCTTGACTATTAGTCAATGACTCTCACTAGAGGGAGTTTTATGTCATATAGAACCTTTGTATATTCTTCGTTTTCCATTGAATTTCAAACTGTTTGAGAAACACTTCATCAAGTTTCCATTTTCAATTCAACAGCCAGGCATGGAAGGGCGCAATTGTTATGCCGACGAACATTACTTCCCAACACTTTTTCGGGTTAGTACTTTGAACTTTTGTTATTTTATCACTTTTCTCACTTCGATTTTGTTTCTAGTTGCTAACATGCTTCTCAATCACTTCTCTCAGATGGTTGATCCTGGTGGAATTGCCAATTGGTCTGTAACATATGTTGATTGGTCGGAAAGAAAGTGGCACCCAAAGTCATATAAATCTCAAGATGTTACTTCCAAGCTTCTTAGAAACATAACGGTGCATATAAATATCTTATTCTAATAAAGTTACTCTTTTGGGACCATGAAGCCATGGATTCGAGCCACAGAAACAAGTCATTTTGCAACGGCTTCTCTTCCCTGCGGCATAAAACCCATGGCTCATGAGTAGCCATTTTTTCTTCAAATACTCCCTCCATCCCAAAAGTAAATACCCATAAAGTCATATAAATCTCAAGATGTTCCTTCCAAGCTTCTTAGAAACATAACGGTACATATAAATATCTTATTCTAATAAAGTTACTCTTTTGGGACCATGAAGCCATGGATTCGAGCCACAGAAACAAGTCATTTTGCAACGGCTTCTCTTCCCTGCGGCATAAAACCCATGGCTCATGAGTAGCCATTTTTTCTTCAAATACTCCCTCCATCCCAAAAGTAAATACCCACAAACGGAGAAAGAACACAGTTTAAGAAATGTGCAATTTGTACACTTTTAAATTAACTAAATGACAATTTTACCCCTAATAGTAGAGGTAGTAATGAATTTCTCCATCTCTGGTAGAATTAGAAAGTAGACATTTACTTTTGTAAGTGGACACTTATTCTGGACAAACTAAAATAGCAATGTTGACATTTGTTTTGGGGAGGAGGGAGTACTATGGTATATGACACCATTGGCCCAACTAATCGATAAAATCTATGCAAAACTCATCCTCATAAAAAAATTGATAGCGTCGATTGGGAGTCGGACCAGTTAGCACCAAATGCAATGACTTTTGGGTCCTCGTAAGTAGCCATTTAACATTATTTTGTACTGCAGGCCTTTGATACTAGCCTGCATTTCACAAGTGATGAGAAGGTAGAGTTTAATACTTTATTAAATTATAATTTGATACATTTTTTTACATATATGTAACAACCCGTCCCACACATGGATAGAAAAGTAGATTTGTGAGTTCCTTATAAGCTCAAAGTTGTGGGCTATCAATAACTTCCTCCATGGTTTTAAGTTGAATCCGAAGTTATTGGGCCAACCTATTGCTTTGGGCTTTGGGCTTTGGGGAGTTATTATAATATAATACATAAAGATCATGAGCTCTCAAGTTGTAATGCTTATAATGTATTTCCTAACAATTCTTACTCGAAACTAGAAGACATTCATGTCATCTTCCGATTAGTAGTGGAGTTGACCTCAAAAGTCAAACTATACTCTTTAAACAATGCAGGGAGCATCCGCAATGGTGGTTCTTCATTAGGTTCTTATAAGAACCTCCACTGCGGCTACAGGTTCTTGTCAAGTAATAGGTTCTTATAAAAACCCAAGTTCTTATCCAGAACATGTTTTTGCCTCGATTCTTGTACTGTTCTTTTAGATTACAAGTTCATTGTACTGTTATTGCCTTTTGCAGAAGACTGTGTTGACAACGCCATGCATATGGAACGGAATGAAGCGGCCTTGCTTCCTATTCGCAAGAAAGTTCTTTCCTGAAACTTTGGATAACTTAATGCAACTTTTCTCAAATTCTACAGCGTTCTGAATTGGGCATTGTCATTTATGGATCGATTCACAACAGAATCCGACCCTCCCTCCCTCCCTCTCACTGATTTCCATATACAAACTTGTGCCTATCGGCATGTTGTAGCAGCACGTGATTTGCGTAGTTGACGAGGCTTTGGATGATGCTTTATGGATTTCATTTTTAGATTGTTAAAAGTTTTGACCCTTCTTTTTATGATACCTATTTTTCAATATATTTTGGGCAATTGTCTTGTGTTGATGGGATTTTTTTTATGTTGTTTTCTGGTTTATAAGATGCATATATTACGAGTTGCTTTACGTCTGTTTATTGATCCGTTATGATTCATGAAAGGTCCAAAAATTTAGTCTTGTCCCAATCGCTTTGACACTAGTAAGTTCTAGAGATGGCAAACCAGTTAACCTGCTTGCCCTTGGGAGCTGTAACCAGTCCTTGTTGAAAAGCCATGACTGGCAGTAACCAGTTTAACCGGTCACATAACTGTCTTTTATGACCGGTTGCTTTTATTTAGCTTATAACCGCTTGCCGGATAAAAGAAACATGACCGGTAGTAACTGGTTTGACGGGTCACAACGTCTTTTATAAACAATTAAGTAGTTGGTGTTCTTTTAGTGTTTAACTCTATATATGTACATATAACATGAATTAAATAAAATTTTATATATACTTTAATTAAATTATATTTTATTTATTTGATCATAAATTGAAAAACATAAACTTCATTCAAACAGTTTAAAAATCATAAGTATTTGATATATGAAAATTGTCTAAAACATAAATATTTAAAACATGAAAAATTGTTTAATACATAAATTATATAAAATTGTTACACATAACCTGTCCTCATGTCATGACCAGTTATATTGGGGCTGGACCCATTTGGGTTTTGGTTGGGCCTGCTCGATCACAAACCAATTACATTCGATCTATCCTTAAATTAATCATCTGGTTCACTTAACTTCAACTGACTGTCCATCTCTACTTGGGCCTATCTTTTTTATACTAGTCTCTTGCTCTTGTCTTGGCCATTTGACATAGGAGAGGAAACTACAAACTTCTAATCCATATTCCAGAGGTTGTGGCTTTTCCTACTTTCTTATTGCATCAATCTTTGTTGGATATATTCGTGATTTACCACTAGTTAATTCGAAAGGCATGTCCATCGACTTTTAAGAACTATATCAAGTCCGAAAAGTTGTCTTGGATACATCGGACTCCTAATATTTGGTGGTATCCTAATCTTAAATCGAACATTGAGAAATGGCTAAGTGATTGTTTATTAATACAAATTGGGTAAGCGCTAATCAGATTAAAGCAAACTCCAGGTCAATATTGATCATTGACCAGAGTAAGAGCCTCTCCCTTGATAGGAATATCATCTTTTGGTTTGAAGGGATGATTGGAATTGAAATCCCATGATTACAATTAAATCCCACAAACATGGATTTAGAAATGCCATAGTTGGTTTTTCGTGAAATTTGTTTATATGTTAAAAACACGTCTTTTGTAATAATCAATTAATAAAAAGGTAAAATGATTATTTTAATAACTAATTTAAAAAGTGAAATTCAATTCCATTCCAAATATTCCAATTCTTCCACAAAATCCAACTCCCCCTCGAAAACATTCTATCAAACCAAACGGTGATACTTTCTGGCCCATGCAGGCACCAAGTAAACATCTTTTACGTGGTGAGAGCCAGCAAGTGTTTAGTAAACCTTGTGTGCAGCCGCACAATGACTCAAGGCTACCACTTGACCCTAACATGGTGGAGAACCTCATACTGGTTTTCGGAATATGACATCAAGAAGAGGGTTAGTTTCAGGATAATCTTCTGCCGCAACAAAGCCAATCGGCACACATTCGGTTCCTCAAGTACTACCATCATATCATCTTAGGTAGATGCATCATAAATCATAAAGAGTACATTAAAACATAGTCACCTAATAATCAATCATAGGAAGCAAGGGTTACACAATACCCAATCCCCATACACAATTTCAATTTCAAGTACTACTACTTAAACACAACTTAAATATGACTTTTCACCAAGTCCTAATCCTTGATAACAATTCTGCCCAAAAACAACTCCGATTCATTTCCGCCTACAAACTACAGATTCTTCTGTTTCTGCAAAAATAACAAACCACAAATGGTTAGAGAGATCCACAGTTTTCACCATAAAAGTCGTCATTCCCAGCTATAACAAGGTGTAGTTTTCCTTACGAAAATATGAACATTGAAAAGTAGTTAAAAACAATTCATGCAAGGGACCAAATACTTGAATAACATATAAAAGTACACATACTTGAATAGCTAAATACCCCCTCTTCTTTTTTTGTTGCAAACAGGGGTCTTCCCAGAAACAACTTCTATCTCAAGAGACACAGGTAAAGTCTGCATACATCCTACCCCTAGACCCTACCTTCTGGTGGGATATCCGGGGTTCGTTTGGTTTACCATAAACACCCCCGTGTAAGATTTGACACTATCACTTACCTTATCGGGTAAGATTTTAGTCCCCAAAAATGGCATCGTATGCAACAGTTTACCCGCTAAGCATTATTTTAACTGGGTAAGAGTCGTCACACTCACTTACCGCGTAAGACTCTCGGTCCTCGCCATTGCTCTTACCGGGTAAGATTTTTGATCCTTGCCATGTTCATCCGATAAGGTAATGTGACTTGGTAAGTGCTTACCAGGTAAGTATTAGGTAAACAGCCCCTTGGTGTCAAATTTTTAGGCTCTTTCTGCTCAAATTACTTATCCAACTCGTCAACTTCTGTAAAGCATTCCATTGTACTGAATTAACTAGTTCAAAATGAGCAAAAGTATTAAGACAGGCTACAAGTGTTTCACGGTCTTTACACTACCGAATTGATCATAATCCAAAACTGGCCATATATATGTGGCAAATTAGGCCTGTTTGATATATTTACTCCAACTTGAGGAGTGTTGAAATGCATAACAGTTATGTCATTTTACTATGCAGTTTACCTTTACATTGTTATTTAGGGTTTCTATTCGGTCAGACATTAACCCACTCTACAAGTATTCCTTCTCATTTATTTAACAGATTAATCATGCTCATCAATAACCATATTTTGTTGGTATCAATCCATAATGGGATCCTTCTCTAAGACGAAACATGTTCGTGATTCTTTAAATGACTTGTAGGGTAGAGATGTAAAGCACCTACATGTTCCATAGATACAAAAAGTAGATTGGAAAACTCTACTATATGACAATTAGAGGCCTAGATACAGCATACCATAAGGGTGTTACGCGGGATGGTTTGGTGCTGACTGAGACGGGACAGGACTGATTGGGACACAAATGCCTTTTTTCTGCTCACCAAAATAGGTGGAAACAAAATCAAAGAGATGCACAAGATTGGTAAATTACTAAACTACCCATGTCAAATAAAAACCCTAAAACCTTGCACGATCCTTTCACCCGTGTACCTCACTCTCGCCCAACCTGTCCCATCCAATCCTGTTTGCGTACCAAATGCACCCTAATGTTGCCACTCCAGTCATTTTCCATGATATCTTGCATACTGTAATGTTGCCACTCCAATCATTTTCGATGATATTTTGCATACCATAATGTTGCCACTTCCAGTCATGTTTGATGATATCTTGCATACCATAATGTTGACACTAGTCACTTTCCATGATATCTTGCATACCATAATATTGCCACTCTAGTCATTTTCAATGATCTTCTAGGAATCTTAAGGGAGCTCCAACAGAAGGTATTCTGTACTCAGATTTGGGACATCACCAAACAGGAGCGATTTCTTGAAGTTGGAATCTAAATCCAACAAGCTAGATGGTTTCTCAAATGCAAACCACACAAGTTGTCTAATTACTCGAAACTCAACTACTAGTTAGTGTCAACATTGCCTCTTGCAAGGGCAAGAAACAAACAACAATTTCACAGGCTAGTGTGGAATCAATAAGTCACGTCCTAGAAGATGCCACCTGTGAGCTTAACCAAGGATTCTGCTAATTAATATGATGCAAGTATACTGTGATAATCAGTCGACCATCCATATAGCAGGTTTTCCACGAATATACAAAACATATAGGAGTCAATTCTCATGTAGTACATGACCAGAGCATGGGATCTACTGTGTTTCCTCCAAGGCACACACCATGATTTTGATGGTTGCACCTTGCCATGTGATAAAGCAGGTCGAGTGAAAATGGCATGTGCCATGTTGCCAAGATAAGCACGACAATTTTGGCATGGCATAGTGCCATGGTGCAATATTAGACCTTCAAAATCCATTTATTCTAATTAAATTAACAGCCAGGTGATTCGCCTTTTAGATTTATCATAAGATGAGAACATAAATTCTTTATGCAACCAATACAGTTACAGTGCCGAAAAAATTCCATAAAGTCTAAAGAAGAACATTACCTAACTGCTGCTAAGTCTTCAACATCCTTCTCTTCTCTCCGAGCAAGTTTCAATGTCTATTTCCTCTAGCCAAGTCCGCTTATTTTCTACTTATCAAACTCAAGCAGCTTATACACACCTTTTTAGTGCATCTTTCTCATTTTATCTCTTCTAGTTTTGTCATAAGATATTTTTCACATCAAGTATTTTCTGTTGAGTGATTCTTTACACTTGGTTACTCATCCAAGCTACACTTCTCTTTGTGGTTGGCTTTAACATTGTTATGGAAACAATATGCTAAGGAAACAAAATCACAGTTACATCAGGGAACTTCAGGGATTCGATTCTCTCAAGTCCTATATAAATACATGTACTCATGAATGTCAATAACAAAGAACAATTTGCACTGATTTCCTGGTATTAGAGGAAAGATGTTGTGAAAAAAAGAAATTAGGGTTTTAAACTAGAATTGTCGGCTATCCGCCCTCCAACTGAGTCCAACCTAACACAGTAACACCCACTTCCAAATGACTTAGACAGGCCTCACAGGCGTACCCTGCGAGTATGGCCGCCATATGACCATCAAGTAAGTCACATGCACCACCCCCAAGCAAATGTCTGCCACTCACACTCTGGCGCATGGGCACACTTAAAACACTGTTCTGGCGTCGCTCTTTTGTCTCCATAGTCACCTTGCCACCCTCTGTCTCCTCTCGCTTTTAGTTCTTCGTTCCGGCAAGTGTGTGAAAAGCAACCATATCTGGTACTAGGTTTTGTATTTCTTCTATTTGGGGTATCACTCTCCTTTATTTGCCGTACCAGGTTTGTTCTGTTTGGGGTCTTAGTCTCCTTTGTTTGGCATATCAGGTTTCTTTTGTTTAAGGGTATCAATTCATATAATTGCTTCAGGATTTACTAAATCCTGTTTGAATCCTTTTGTTTGTGATTGGCTAAAGTAATTCCGATAGCAAGTAGGATTACCGATAGCAAACTCAACGACTCCAACTTCTTTGAATGGAATAAGATCATTCAGATGTATTTGCGTTGTATTGGTAAGGCTTACCTTTGATCCCCCACCTATGATACAGTGAATAGTGATTACAAGATGATGCCATGTTATTCCTACAAATTAGTAACTGTATTGAAAATTTTGTCATTCCCTTGATTAACACCATAAATATGTTAACAAATCAATGGATTATTTGGCTACTTTATGTAAAAAAAATTCATCGGGAAGAGAAACAAGATCAGTCACTACTCACCTACATTACGAAATTCAATAAAATCTATAAGGATCTCGACGCACTTCTTCCACTAAGTGCTTATGTGAAAATTATGCAAACTCAACAAAAGCAAATACATGCAAGTGTTTTTTGAATGGTGAGAGACCAGCATTTGATGTTTTGGAGACCAGCATTTGAGGCTCCCATGCCCACAATTTACTCATTTGTTATCTTTATAGTGTATTTATCGTCAATTTGCAAAACTTCATCAATTTCATGCAAGTCCTCAAATCAATAAAAGGGTTCCTTTTGAGTTAGCTCATTCTATGTTTAGTGCCTGTATTTTGTTACTACCAACACTGATTTTAAGTATTTTGTTATCTTTGTTGATGACTGCTCTCTTAGTCTCGTATTAGGCTTTATTTGATGAAAAATGAATCTTACGTATTTATAACTTTTTGTTCTTTCTTGCTGAAATAGACAGAGTCTGGTGTTTCAGTTCACATCATGCATAGTTATAATTTCAAACAATACATATTCGAGTCTTTTCAATCTTACTTGCTTCAATATGGCATTCTTCGTGAGTCATCATGTGTTGATAGCCCAGCTCAAAATGGGGTTGTCAAACATAAGAATCATCACCTTCTTGACGTTGCACGAGGACTTCTATTCCAAAACCTTTTGGGCAGATGCTGTCTCAACTATTATATATTTCTAATAATTCAGGTGCTCTCCATAGTTCTTGGCGTTGATATTCCATCTTCAATACATTTAGTGAAACCTTTGTTTCCTGTTGAACCTAAAATCTTTGGTACCATTGTCTTAAAAAATGGTTGAGGCATGCGCCTCAAGGCACAGCAGCCAAAACCCATGTTTGAGGTGTCACCTCTTAATGCTCTAATGGGTCATACACATTTTGGCGAGGTAGCAAATCAAAATATAAAAACTCACATTGGGTTTAGGGATTACAGGCTCGAACTGATGACTTCGATCACGTCAAGGTGACACTCTACCGCTGAGTTATATCCCTTCCTGCTCCCATCAAGAAATAGAACCGACTAATCCTAAGGCAAAGGGTCGAGAAACTCAACAACACTATCCTTGAACAACTTGGGGCCGGGCCTTCTTTTCATTTTTACACTATTACGGATATGAAAATAATGGGAAAATCAAATTCAATTGTCATCTGTCCGTATCAGAAATAGGATTAACTATGGATTCGAACCATAGCACATGGTTTCATAAAACCACACGATTTTCCAGATCTAAATCAGGTTTTACATGAAGAAGACTTGGCTCAGCGTGTTCTATTCGATACGGGTATAGGTGAGGCGAGACTAAGGCGTACGTCCTTGGAATGTTTTATGCATGTGGGTGTAATTTGTACGAGTTAGTAGGTAGGCCTATTCTTTATTTAAACAAGACTAAAAGTTGTGGTACTTTATTTAGTGGGCGACTTCTATTTAGCTAGTTATCTATAAAAGTTGTGCAGTTCATGCAAGTAACTTCTGTTTATTACAACTTTGCTACATACAATGCAACTATAGTACTATACAAGTGTATAACTATATATGTTGCTACTTACAAGTATATACTTTCGGTTTTTGTAATTTTGTATAGTGTTTTTGTATATTATGCTGCCACATACAAGCACAAAACTACTAAACATTTTTTGTATATTCTGTTTATAAAGTTGCAGCTACATCAAAGCTACGTATTACATATATATAAATATTTGTATTTTTTTTTATTTTCTGCCTCGAGCCTTACACCTCGTCACACGTTTCCATACTTTAAAATCTTGAAGGAATGATGTTATTCTCCTACACTAAATCGTTATGTCATCTCCTAAAATATCTCTTGCCAAGAAAATATTCCTTTCTTCCTTGTGTCCACCACCAAGTACTCCTAAAATATCTATATGATACCTTGTCTTCCACCTACTCCTAAGAATTGTTGTACTGTACAGTCTCCTCGTGCATTTACTGCTGATCATACTTGACCAACCACCTGTTGTTCTTGCTTATCAGAGGCGACATAGTTCTACAACAAATCCCGATCTTTTGCCTCCGTCTTCATCCACAGATCCACCTAGTGTTCCCACTACACTATCATGTGGGATAATTAAAGGTAAACAACATGCTTGTACATATCCCATATTCCCATTGCTTCCTTTGTTTCTTATAATCAATCGTCTCTCTTCTTGTAAAATAGATTCACTATTCATTCCTAATATTGTTGGTGAAGCATTGGCTCATTCCGGATGACAAATGCTACCATTGAGGAAATGAATGCCTTTGATCATAATGGTACATAGACATTCGTAGTTTTGACTGCTTACAAAAAGGAAATAGGGTGTAAACAGATGTTTATAGTTAAATTTCAACCAAATCAGTCTGTGGCTCAACTTAAAGTTCGTCTTGTTGCCAAAGGATACATTTGGCAGTAGGGGGCTAACTACTCCAACACTTACTCTCCATTTTCTTAGCTCCCTTATGTTCGGTTGCTCATCTCACTGGCAGCAAACTTTGATTGGCCCTAGCATCCCTTGGATATCAAAAAGTGTTACTCTTCATGATACTCTTCAGGAAGCGGTATATATGGAGCAAAATAGGACTTTGTTTCTAAAAGGGAGTATGGGAAAGTATGTCGCCTCAAAAAATTCTTGTATGGCTTGGAGCAGAGTCCTTGAGCATGGTTTGGCAAATTCAGTAGAGTTATCTTGATATATGGGATGCAAAAGTGTAGGTCTAATCATATAGTTTTCGAAAGGCAATCTGGAATTGGTGTGATCCTACTTATAATTTATGTTGATGATCTTGTGATTACTCGAAGCGACAACCAAAGCATACAAGGACTTAAAGACATTTCTTCAGTCTCACTTCCAAACAAAAAATTTGACCACCAAAATATTCATTAGAGTAGAGATCATGAGAAACAACGGGATCTTCTTATCTCAAAAGATATATGTTTTCAATCTTCTAAAAGAAATAGAAAATTTGGGAGCTAAACCATATAGCATCCCAATAATTCCTAATGTATACAAGAAAGAAATAATGGAGAACCATTCCATGACCCTGAGAGGTACTGAAGACTTGTTCAAAGTTGAATTATCTTATGGTCACTTTTATTTATCGACTATTTTTGGTTTGCTTGTGATAGGTCAATGTGAAAGAGTAAGCATTTGGTTGATTTAATTATTTATTTAATGATTTTCAATATTGAAGTATGAGCTTAAGATTTTGAAATATTGTCGAGGACGGATTACCATATGGTTTCAATTTTGTTTTGAAAAATTATGTGCCACATGTACCACGTGCCTTGTAACAATGATGGCCATGACTACTATGGTGCCTCAACGACCTATTCATTTTAGGATACCAAGTATCACCTAGCTAATATCCTAACAAAACCCTTATTGAAAACTAATATTGAGTTTATCAAGCAACAAATTGGCCTAATAAATATTTCTGCACTAACTTGAAGAGTGTTAATATCCCATTAACGTTTGTTATGTTTTTCATTGCCTTACTAAAGAGTTTTGCTATGTATTTCTTACCACAAACCCACATCATGTACTACAATTATTAGGATTTTCCTGTGCGAATAAATCATCACTTCTATTAGTGATGTCTTCTCACGTTAATTATGGAAAACCATTAAAGATTGTCTTCTAGTTTCTGATTGAGCACTATGACTCCCATACTAATTTTTACGTTGAGTGACTTGACAATACTTTTTGCATCAACCATCTAACAGGTCCTTAATATTAGTAATTAGGCACCTTCCAAGCATTTTGGTGTCTCAACTTCGAAACGTAATTAGATAATAGGCACTATTGCTTTGGACCAATATAATACTAATCTAGCATTTCGAAACATGCATACAATAAATCTTAAGAAAAATGTGCATCAACAATGACCCAGGAACTGCATTCCAACATGGCTCACACGTTTGACTTGCTCAAATTCACATGGTCACAACTCCACCCTCCCCTACAAGATGGTTCCAAAGATGATCAATCCCAGAAAAAGGAAAGGAAACTTCGAACACAAAGGTGTCACAATGCCATTAACCTCTATGAAGCTCATCATTGCTCAAACCAAAACACAACATGATCTAAAGGTTGTTCTAGTCCATGTTTCATATTCATGGACCATATATATATTTACATTAGGCTAAACCAAAAACACAAGAGAACAATAGACTCATAATAAATTGTCTTTCTTCTTAAATTTAGTTGTAGTTCCAATTAGAAAATGCAATTGAAGTGTCAAATTGAGAACCATACGGGATATACTACATAAAGACGGTATTGGTCTTTCAACCCTGCATATGATGGGAGCAGCACTACACATGCACTGACCTGAAAACAATCCAAATGCATTCTAGGACCACAGAATAAGCTGACAGTAAACAAGAACCAAAAATCCAAAAGATTTTAAAATGATCAAAGATGAATCAGATGATTTTAGAGCTAGGAATTATCAAAAAGATGGTTCTAAGCTACCTGCCGAAATTAAAATTAGTTGCAACATGCATCTAGATTGATAGGACAAACAAAAAGCAAAATAAAACAAAATGACCAATTAATTTAAGAGGGATAAAAAGAGATGGCTACCTTTTACAGGAGGCACCATTTAGCATGCATCATCCTCGCAAAGTTTTTGTAGACCACTAGTAAAAAGAGCCCTTGCATCTCGGTGTTCCACACAGACACTTTTTCCTCTGCGAGCCAGCTTTGTCAGCCCGTACCGTTCCATAGTTATATGTTAACTCCTGCATAGGAGGAATGTGTTTGATTGCATAAAAGCCAACATGGAGATATGATTCATCGTGATTCTCACGAACAACTGGCTGCCAGTACACGTTAGGCGAGCAGCTGTGGTTCATAAAACGGCCCACATTTCCCTCATTTTTGGCACTGATAATTAAAGGAAATGGAAATTTTGCAGGTTCATCAACAGGCAGAGATTCCACAGAATCAAAGGAGCGAGTAGCATCAAAAATGTAATTGTCATCAGGGTCAATTCCATTTTCCTCCACTGTTGAAGAATCAATAACTACACCTGCATATTCACATATAAAAGCTCCTGCACGAATGGGATCCCAAGACCTAAGTCCCCAACCCTTATCCCTTGTTTTAAACACCTCTAGACGGATTTTCAGACCTGCTTGGGAAACTCGGTTCCTGCAGTTAGGAGGGCATAAACAAGATTTACCACACTCATGAACCAATGAGTTATGACTGAGAAGAACACCAAGTGAGGTATATGGCATATAGCCTCCATTTCTTTGAACACAAGGGCAGTTAGTGGCAGGTTGGCATCCAGTTGAGCAGCTGCAGTTTATAGAAGATTTGGTCGAAGCAAATGGCTTTCTATACTTGAGACTGGATGAGTATGTAAAATAAGCAGGCCCCTTTTCATTATCGATGTCGTTTACAAGGCAAACAGGTAAATTTTCAGCCCCAGAAGTAAGGTCGGGCAGAATTACCCCAACCCTTGTAGTAGCACCATCCTTCCATAGCTGAATTGATTTCCATAATGTAAATGCCTCAGGCTGTCCTGCAACTCTAACCAATTTGTACTTAAAAACATTGCAACCAGACTTCCCTTTCTCAATCCAAGACTCGTGTATCTTGTATAGACCATCATAGACATATACCTTGCCAGTCGGATTGGCAAAATCCCGAAGACCCCGAATGACTCGTACCTCATTAGCCCTGTGCAAGCTCTTTTCGAGAGCAAGGTTACCCCTTACTAGTTTTTGATCCATCTGTGGTTTATCTTTCCTCTGAACACCCCCTTGGCCACTGTATATCAGCACGTCGCCATCATCCCCTTCATCTTCATATCCTCCCGAGGAAACAATACTGACAGCCACAGGCTCTTCGTCTGCAGAGAACTTAACACCCATATAATCTATCCCAGCCATACTTGGAGCATGCAATCCCACCAAGCACAATTCAAACCGAAAAAAGAAAATGTCACCAATATCTACACCAGGTACAGCCCCAATCCTCTTCTTGACGTTAGCCCGAGCCCCTTTATTCATACAAATAGTACCTGCCCTCAAGTCAGGGCGCCGTGTTACCCCTGCCATAGCCTCCTTTGTATCATCAAGTTGTGTAATCTTTCTCCGGAGCAAATTATAAACCACGAGTACACGTCCGACCAACTCCTTGTCACTGTCAGCTTGACGGAAAGTATCAATTTCCAAGAGATTAAAAGATCCCAATAGATGAGTAACGTATGAGTCAATGTCAATCTCGGAATTAGAAACAGCAATCCCAGCTGCACCCCTAGACTTTCTGCGAGTTTTTGGCTTTTTCTCATCATCACTGCCATCCATACCAAAGCTGTTGTCATAACCATCACTCTGACTATATCCATCCTCGTCTACAATTGTATGACTCCTAGAACTCCTTCTTGATGTCCCTATCTCACCATTTCTTGATGCTGTTACTGGGGTCCTAAAAGAATTTAAAGGAACTGGTGAGGGGATAGGGTAAGACCTACCAGGAGCCGGTCCACTGCCTTGCCTTTGAGACTCATTTGAGGCATAAAAGGGGAAGAACGGTGCAGCACCAGGCGGAAATGGCCCAGTTGGAGGAACCGATGCAAATGGAGAAGACTGGGGTGGTGCAGAAGAATCAGAATGCGATGGAAAAATTGGAACGAGACATCTCAATGGCTTAACAGTCAGAACCTTAGACTTGTCCATAGGACCAGAAGGAACAGAATCGGAACCAAAAGTATGTTCCATGGAAATCAAGAGTCCTCCAAAATTTCACAAACTCAAATCTTCCCAAAAGAGAAGCACAATTGTCATCACCTGAAAAATACATACATATCAAATGCATTAAATTAGGAAAAGGGAACCCACCATTTCTAATCAGCTAAATACCCAAAACAAGTACAAAGCAAACATGAACCATAACTCGTAGTTGAAAACTGCCCTCCTGAAACATACAAATAGACTTGAAAATATAACATAATGAACGTCTAGCCTTCAGTAAGATCACCAAATTTAACACAAATAAAGACAAAACCTAAACTTTTTAAAACCCTAAATACACAAATCTGAAATCGATAATTCAAACCCAACAACACATGATTTGAGGTACAACAAGAAGAAGAAGAAGAAACGAAGACAGGGAGGGCACGAGAACTAGGGTTCATTAGTGATAAAAATAAAATAAAGAAACGGTAGAAAACATGGAGATTATTCCAAATATCAGATCTATTTTCATTGTGGAAGCATAAATCGAGGGAAAACCCTCATGTAGATCTTGGAATTTGGAAATTACCTTTGGGTTTCGAATTTGGGAGAGCGAGGGAGTGTGCCAGCAGAATGAAATTTGAATGCAGGTTTCAGTTCTGCTTCTATGTATGCTTTTTCACGTTTTCAATTTTTGTAACAAAACAAATCCTATTTGTGTATCCCCACGGAATAAATATTAATCAAAGTTTTTTTAATTAACAGAAATATTTGTTATATATTTTATCCTTTTTTTCAAAATTTAAAAAAAAATTATTTCCTTTTTGTTCATTATTTTAAATAATAGTTTAACACTTAAAATTTATAAAATATAATCGTCCAGTGAATTTTATCATTGGTCCTTGTATTATGTCTTCATTTTGGTTTTGGTCTCTAAATTATGTTAACGATTATTTGATACTTGTTGATGATTTAGTGTAAAATGATTACAAATTTTGTGCTTAATGAAAATCGGTGTCTAAAATAGAGGACAAAGATTACCATTTAACTATATTTATGATTATATGGTGAAGGTGTTGGTCCCATTAGGGACTACAAGATGTGTATGACAGTTTGTAGAAGGTGGATTAATACAAACACAGTAAACTTCTCAAATTTAACATATATATTGATAAAGAATGATCAATACATATTTTACAAGATTATTTGCAGAAAGATAAGGTAAAAATAACTTATCTAAACAAAGGTAAAAATAACTTATCTAAACAATCTAAGTTACACACTAATTCTTAGCAAAGAGATATGATTTGTAGTTTAATACTTATAAGAAAGTAAGTTCTTTCTGGGTATGAACTATTTAGAATACTAAAAAAGGATTCTAACTTGTTTTTGAAAATAAGCCTATTGTGTTCTTAGATGTGTGTTCTTTTACTTATGAACGTAAGTTAGGGTTCAAGAGTAAGTGTTAAAGTGTATCTTCATGGAGATAAAATACATCTATTTATACTCGTTATATTAAATGCACATTTAATGCAATGCAGTGGAGTTTGAACACGCATCAAGCCTTTAAAGAAAGACTCGTCCTTTGCTACAGTGAACAAAAGCATATTCATGAGCAGACATCCTTTCATGGAGTTGGCAGGTAGTAGAGTCAACTAATCGACTCTGTACCGTACTATGATCTAGAAAAGTTATGGGTTTGTCATTTGTGTGTGTAAGGACAAGACAAAAAAAATCGTGCTCAACAAGCTTCTTTTGATCGCTGAATGCTGGAATAACCTGAAGGTCTTTTCAGCATTCACTAAGGCTTAGGCAGTCTTCACACATGTGTAGACTAGGTTGTAATCACTGAAAACCGATTCAGATCAAGAACTCGCCAGTCTCTAATCTTCAGCTTTAGTCTTCGACTTTCGCTGAAGGTTCTTTGGTGTGACTTTTTTGTCTTCTTGAAATATCGCTGTCACTTATGGATTTACATTACATGTTCTTAGCGATCACTGAATGGACTCAGTGATGATCGCTGGAACTGAAAGACAGAAACATAAATACTTCGTTAAGGTAAAAGAGATTATCATCAATTCACTAAGAGAGAGGATCAACAATCTCCCCCCATTTGATGATAACAAGGCAACATAAAGAAAGTTGTCTTATCAGATAACAATAAGAAAAAGTTACATATAAAGTACATGTCCCTTTTAACTGTTTTGAAATCTTTTTCAGTGAGTCAGTCTTTAGTTAGAAAATTTTCTTAAGTTATAAGTCTAAGAAAAATTAAAATAAGGGAAACTGAAACTGAATGCATGTTCACTACTTATAGAATGTTAGTGAATGTAAGAGTAACACTCTAACTCATAGACTTGTATCCCTATTACTCTTTTCAGGGATCTTTTTTAGTGATGCACAAAAATACTTATATTAATTTCAAATGAAATATTACAAGAGTTCCAGTACATGTCTAGACTTACAATATATAAGAATAATCACTGAAAGTAGACATAAAATATAGTTTATATTGAATGGACAAATTACAAAGAAGAAATCTAGTCTAAGTCGCTCAGCTTAATGAAATCTGGTACATTTTCTTCAAGCTCCTTTCGACGTAGAACTTCTTTCTTATCTTTCAGTCCAGCATTTCACCTCTAAAGTCATCATCTAGCCAGAACCTGAGATATCCGAGGTATTCCATAGGGCATAAATGTAACTTAGACATTCATTGAAATCTCAGTTCACCTTCATAGTCTAGGAATATAAGTCTTAACTCAGGTTTGCCATGCACAATGTTGGGTACATAAGGACCCTTCGCTGGCAGTGAGAGATTTAGCATAAAGAGGTCTGGCTTCTTCGAAGCCTTCAGGACTTCTTCCAAGGAGAACTTTGTTTCATGTTCGTTCCTCAAGGATGATCCATCACTAGGGCTTGAAGGTCTTTTTCTTCTTCCTCCTTTCTTCAGCGTAGGCATTTCTAGGACTGTGACATATCTGGACACCTTCGCGATCAACTCGTTAATAAGGTCTTCGATAATTGTCTTATGTCTGGACTTTGAGCGCTAAATGGCTTGTCGGATCTCCAGTCATTCGCTATAGCCATATTCACCAAGGTATGAGGGATACTCGGTCACGGCCTCAAGATTGTCCCTAGTGATGAGCATGGAGAGCAGCATCCCACCGTGTTTTGATCGTCCGTTGATACTGACGCTCTTGATCGGGTGAGGGCTGATCCTCTTATTGATACTTGTTTCGCTCCAACGCTTGTCCCGCTCGGCCAACTTCAGGTTTTTCTCACGTTCAGCTTCTGTAATAGATTAAAGCTTAGCCTGGGCCTGGACAACGTTCACCTTCTTTTTGGACTTTCTCTTAGGAAGAACTTTTGCAGCTAGAGACTTGGCCAGCTTTAAGCTGTCCTTAGTCTGCTTCTTTTGAATTCCAAGTTCTTCCTCAGCTCTTAAGGCCTCAAGTCTTTCAGCTTCTGTCAGAAAGTCAAACTCACCACAACTAGAGGTACGAAGATGTACTTTTACTTTAGTTTGGTCAAGTGACTCCCTGAGCTGAGTCATCTGCTGGTCGATAGGAGTGTTAGGGGTTGGGTTCTCAGGGACCCATTCCTCCAGCCGACCGCAGGTAGTGTAGGGTATATCGAGTTGGTAGAGTGAAGTGACGATTACTTGAGATGAGGAATCTTCATACAAGGGTTGAGAAGATTTGAATAGTACCTTTAAATTCCCTTCTTCAGTGACGCCTTTGCCTTTCGATTTAGGGCCCTGGTTCGCTTCAGGAGCATGTTCTTCTTCCCTTTGCTCCCTTTGGGATGCAGAATACCTGAGGGCAACTCCTTTGGTGGCAGTAGCGGGACGCTTGTATTGGATGGTGAAGTCGTCTTCGTTATCATCATCCAGGTCGCTGCCGGAGTCAGGGAGATCAGGTGAGTCACCTTCCTCATCATCATCTTCATCTTCCACATCACCAGTGTTACGAGAATTATATAAAATAAATCTCTCGGACTATTAGCAAATGGAGATTAGTGCAAGTATACACTTATCAATCCACTATCGTTTTTTACAAGTAATAAAGTGGTAAAAATACTGAATATCATTCACGGAGAAAAGGAATAAAAGTTCATTTTAATAGTCTAAATAAAGATATGATTTCATATGGTGAGTTCGAAGAAATATTTGTGGTGAGTTGGTTTAACACTACTGTTGAGAACAAGTAATAAAAGAGAGCTTAGGGTGTAGGGATTTGTTAAGATATTAAACTGATTTTTAAGTAGACAGCATGCTACAACATGGTTCTATTTCATGCTTTACAAATAACTTGTCTTTACAGCTAATAGCTTCTTTAAGGTACTATCTCGAGATGTAAAACGACACATAGTCATAGATCAAGCCTTCGTATCTCTATGCAAGGCTGAAGTCTCGATATTGGCTCAAACTATTCATTTTATAAGCTAAATTGAGTGAAAACGAGTCTCCTCGATTCTAAGTAACTCTCTCGAGCCTACTTCCATATCATTCAAGTTGACGTGTGCTTGTTAGTTTATCTCTAAATCCAACACTAACACTTTTAAACAAGTGATCAACTTGTCCATAGATGATGTTTTTTGCAATAAAAACTTGAATAACGTAGTTGTAAAGATTTATTATTTATATTTATACAATGAAATCGATATTTCTCTTAACATCACCGACACCCAAGCTATATTTTTAGCCTACCATACTTGATATAATAAAATTAATTGCATAAATAATAAAGCATAATAAGTAGAGCACAAAAGAAGAAAAGATAATAGAAGAAATAAATGTAAAGATGAATTATAAAAGAGACTTAAAATACTTGAAATAATAAAATTAATTGCATAAATAATAAAACATAATAAGTAGAGGACAAGAAAATAAAAGATAATAGAAGAAATAAATGCTAAGAGTAATTATAAAAGAGACTTAAATGTAAATAAAATTTAAAATACTTCCAAACACTATTTTCATACCCAAGAGAACTTCCAACTTACATCAAAGTTTGTTACAAAATTACTTGCTAAATTGCTTTTCTAAAATGACTTTTTTTAAATGCCAAGCATCCCCTCTTTTTATAGTAGGAGAAGGGAGGACAATGACAAAAAAATAAAGCTTTTACCTAACTTTTTTATAGTGTCCAATGGGTAATGCCATGCTACCCAAAAATTAGTCAAATATAAATTTTTTAATTTGTATCATAAGATCTTTAAAGCTACAAAAGATGGGCTGCCAAAAAGGAGGATTGGATATCAAAAGATTCCCCGTACTATTCTAAAAAACGCCACTGTAATCATCCTGCAGCACACGCTATAGCATGCTTCAGCCAAACACTTATTAACATGGCTCTTTTTCCAAAAATAAGCACATATCCAAGAAGTAAACATGTTTATCACATCAATTTAGCTTCAATATAAAAAAACATAGAAAAATAAAACAAAAAGACTCAATTTGCGGAATTTTGGGAAAATAAAATGGATAAATAAAGTAAGAAAAAGTGTAAAAGCATCAAATAAGTTGATACTTATCAAACCAGCAACAAGTGTAGAGGTGGTGGGAAGGTCATCATCACGAGCTACAGCTCGGACGACATCAACTTTCTCAACTATAGCAGCTTCACTGGAAGTTGGA